TTGAATTTGACGTACATATAACATGTAATGTATTTTCACATTGATCAAAATTTAATCGATATATTACATAAAGTTTCCGAGAGAGGAGTAGGAAGCATTGATAGGTTCGTTCGTTATCTCGGTCGATTGGCATATCTATGCCAATAAAGAATGAAAGATTAAAGTTTGTTAAGTCTAACTTTCTTGCGGAATGTACTCCTCGCTGGAGGAGACTTCTCCACGTCGTTGCTCGTCATGGTGTGAGTTGTGACTTTACGCGCGCAGATAGTATCCCTTGCAGGAAGTTCCTCATCCTTGCCTGACGGCGGAAAAGGCTCGCAACTGATAAGGCCGCGGGAGTTACGCAATATTGTGATAAAGGCGAACGTCGTCCCTCCTGTGTGGGGTGATAAACGCAACGCGGAGGCTTGTGGACGCGCGCGGCAGACGGCGGGGAGAAGGACGCTTGGCATCCCGTCGCGCGATGCGAGGAACGCTCGACGGGACGAGGCACCGGGAGAGAGGAATGCCGGTTAACGAGAATAAAGGGCGTAGCGTAATGGACAGTGCGCGCTGAAATTCATGCCCGGCCATAAGAAAAATTGGACCCGCCGACGCCGCCACCGCCGCGACGCTTTTCCCACCGGAGAATTAATTCGTCGGAACTTATAACACGGGTCTAGCCGCGTGTGGCGCTATACACGGTGGCCAATAAAGCGCGGATGTCGTTAGCAGGGAAAAAGAAATTTCAAGTCCGTCGACTTTCATTAATGAAGTTTTAAGACAAAGAACGTCATTGATCGAAACTTTGAAATTTTGAACGTAAAATTATCAAAGCCCTTTTTCTGCTAGATTTCTCTTAAAGGTCAAACTGTTGAAAATTAAGTTTTTCCTTTCTTTAAACTTTTATCAATTATATTACACGTATATTAAAAAATACATATATTTGATATCAATCAATCTTTTAAAGATTGATCATATTGCATATATGATGAAATATTGTAATATTTTCAGTCGTAGAGTATTTTATGAATTGGAGGCATCGTAATTTTTTTTTAATAAAGATTCTTGTATATTTTGAGGAATAAAATAATATTACGTTTTGTGTGTTATCATCTGTAAAACGATAGTATGAGAGTTTTGACAGATGTACCTTGCCGTGTTTATCCACGTTACCGCAGAATCCCATCGTAACGGATAAAAATCGCGCAAGTGATTTCGAAGAAGATGCGATCTCAGCACGGATTATTTTTCTTTCCGCTTCAATCCGTTGATGCACTCGGCTAAGAACGTCTTTTCTCTTCCCGTACAAAACCACACACGTGAAACTTTTCAGATGCATTCGCAACGTCGCGTTATACGTATAAAATTCCCTGGAATTTCCGTCCATTTTTCTCACCGTCAAAATGAAACAGGTCGAGAACTGACGTCGTGAGCTAGCTAATAATTATCACGGTCGTTGCTGGTCGGGCTCTCATTTTTAGAATCGTATTTTTCGAAAATGGCCGGACATATTACGCATGCGAGATTCGTGAAATAAAAATCTAGCAGGCCGAATTAATTGCCCGCGATTCTACGATGGAACCAGCTGGCAGTTGCATACGTTAAATAGGTCGTTTCCAGGGACCTGAGCGCGCTACCCTCCACCGGCTGCATGGCTGCAGGATCCGGATCTGCGAATCCGAAAAACCACCAAGAGAGAGACCGGGCTTCCGTTGAATCTCTCATTCTTCTCCACGGTCCTTTCGGTATCCGTCCTCGTTGTACTCGTTTCGCTTCTCTTTTTTCCAGTGAGCGTTGACGCAGCGCCAAATTGAATTCGGCCTCGCGCGACGGTTCGTGAATAATTCTGCGAGAGCACCCGTGTGTCGACTCTGTCAACAATAATCGGCCAGTTGTCGGCGCATCCCTCTTCCCATCTTGCCTCTTTTCAGTTGCTGGTGCGCTGCTGCCGCAACTGCAACCGCACCGATGAGGACGCGATGAAAAAAATACACACGGACGGAAAGGGAGAGAGAAAGAGAGCAGTGCCGTCAGCCGTAGAATCGAGCTTTTTCTCTCTTATATTTTATCTGGTGCGCGCATATCGATTTATTCATCGCGGAAATCGAGCGTAACGAGGCGCAAAATGCCTCCAAACATTCGACCCTGTATCTGTCCGCGTCCAATTTTGTATTCCACCCTTTCCGCGTTCTTGCGGTCACTTCTCTCTGCCTGTTTTTCCTTAAATAAGTTACCCCATCATGAACAGTTTCATCGCTCAATACAATATTCCACTTCTCCGCGAATTCGTTACTTGTCGCTGTTTACATACATCAGCTGAATTTCCCCAACTAATGGCATCGCTATTATTACAGAAGTCGGTTGAACGTGACGAAGATGAATTTATTGTAAAATTATACTTAACCGTTCTACTTTGCAAAGAAAATTAACTTATCAAAGTATATTTTCAATTTCAACAAGATCACTCTCTTTGAGTAAAAATACGAAAATTTGTCATATCATTTCGTCAATAATCAACAAGTGATCAGTAAAGATAAATAAAAAAATTATAAATTAACTGCTACTAATTAACAAAACTCTTCTCACATTTTAATATGTTGTAATAAAAAATATTACAAAGATATCGAAATAATATTTAGAAATAATTTTGGAACAAAAACATTAATTTTGATAAATTTTGAAGTATTAATGATATCTATGTTAAAGTATAATTCAATATTTGTGATAAGTAAAATCGGAAAAATATATTTCAATATTTTATATAATAAAAAACGTCATCATGACTGAATATATGATAATTTAAAACATATTTTACGCGGCATATACTAACAGATTTTTTTTATACGTTTTATTTCTGTTTCCGAAAATATTGGCATGCATATTTCTTTTTTCACGAATTTTATTTTATATTTCTTTCTGACAAGGTTTATGTTCTAACTGTCATATTGCTGTTTAAACATATTCGCATTAAAAGATTACATCACCGCGATAAAATCTCTCTGTTATTTTCTGAAATGGCTTTATATTATTATCACAAATGGAATATCGGTCTCGAACCATAATTTCCTGGCAACGCGACAGTTTATTTTTCCTCCCAATGTCCCTATAAATAAAAAGAAAATATAATAGCAAAACGTGAAACTCTGTTAACGGCTCGTCTCCTTTCACGATGCAATCAGTAAAAATAATTACAGATAAAAATCAATTGTTACGCGTTCGAGATTCCATTCGTCCGACTCTGTTTTAATTATCAAATGCTCGCCTTTAGGCCGATATTAATGGCGTCTATTTGATAAAATTCTCTCTCTCTCTCTC